ATACATTTACCCAATAATATCAATTTTTTTTTTCAGAATGTTACCTTAGGGCTGGCTTGGTCCATATTTGCATATCTTTTGCATCTTATCTTAATAAATACCAGCCACCATTTTCTTTTTAGTACATTTTTTTCCCTTCCTGGGTAGGGTAAGGAGAAGTTAATTATTTTGGGGAATTGCCTGTGAAAAAATTTCTCTGAATACAATTTTATTAAGGTCATTGTGCCTCTGGGGGATTTTTTTTCTAATGGCCACACTGTGTCCAATGATGGCACTGGGGTTTGTTAATCTGAATTTGTGCCAATTCAGACATCTTTGGGGTCCTTGCCTGGCTGGGAATTTAAAGATGCAATATAATTTTTAAAATTTATTATTGTCATTATTACTCTTAGTTTTCTTATTGTCTTAAGACATGTTGTTGACAATGTTCTGCTACATCCAAATTGACTGCTTGATAATAGACCATTAGCTTTTTCACTAAGCTTCCAATGACAGACACTAATCCACTGACAAAAGTAGTGGCAAAAATGTCCCTATCCATTGTATCTGTGATATAAGAGTATGGGAAAAAGATTGAGTCACACAGAATTAGGGAACTGCAAGGATGCTCCCAGGTTGCTTAGAATTTTTATTTTGGCCCAAATATCTGCAAGGTGGTGGGGAGTTATGTCAGTTGCTTAAGCTACGACCGCTTGCCAACTTTAACACCTCCAGATGAGGAGGGGTTACCAGGCAGGTTGGGCCCATTTCGCAGTACCCATCTAGCACTGACAGACACGCTGGTTGTGGCAGAGTTGTAACAACTCAGAGAGAAAGCTGATACTGCTGGCTGAGGCCATACATTTCATGTATTTGTGTGAACACTACCACTTGAAAACTTGATGATCACAGAATGGTTTGGAGAAGTCTTCAAAAACAGCATGTAATTTAGCCATGTCTAAAGAAGTTACTGTAGGTTCTCCCTTAACAAGGGGATTGTGGGACGCCGAAGGACCATTGCTCAAGACCTGATACAGACAGCTACTGGTAACACCATCTCAGTACTTTCTTGGTTAGGAGCTGGAAGTTGGGAGAGCATCTGTGAGGGATTATCAAAAAATGGGGATGCTATTGAAATATTTGTATGGTTTTATAATCAGAATTGTTGTAAGGTGGCCTGGGTAGTTCTTTAGAATTATCTTCAGAAAAATAAGTGTACAGGTTAACAGAGGGTAATTTATAGGACAAGAACAGAAGGGCAGGGCGAGATACTACTTTCACGGATAGACCCTTGTGACTCCCCTTGTCTCCTTGACATACTAATCAAAAAGGGACACCACTACCTATTTGGAATTTTGTCCTCCTTTTATTTTAGGGCTTAAGAAAAAAAAAATCCAAAACTTGAAAATAAGGCAAAACTAATACAGCCTACCTTTTTCAAAGATGCCATCGTAAAGCACTATCCACCAAGCTTGCCCAAGAGTCATTTGATTTAGGTACTCCCCTGAGTGGCAGACAATGGCCCAAAGCTGCAGCCAACGCCAGCTCTCCACCTGTTTTTGTATAACTCAAAGCTAGTGGGTTTTTACTATTAAATATATTAAGTGGTTGGAAAAATAGTAGTAGAAAAATGTTTTGTCACATGTGAAATTTACATGAAATTCTAATTTTAGTGTCCATAAATAAGTCGTATTGGAATACAGCCATGTTCATTCCACGAGGTATTGTCTGTGCTTGTGATCTTCAGGTGCTCCTCAATTTTTGCCTCTTAATAAACAAGGTTTGCCAAGCGCTTTCCTAAGGGAAGTAACTTTGTTTTATTGTTTCTTATTGATAAGGGTTCAGACTCTGGTGTGTTGGATGTTATCTCATGGAAGGTTGATAAGTTACAAATGTTTTTTTTTTTTCCTTCAGAGATGCAAATGGTATCTGTTCATAGAAAAGAACCCTAAAGGCTACAGTTTTATTGCCTTGTAAAACATACATCAGTTTTGTATCTAATTTTTCAATCTTATTCTAGCATTCTCTTTTCTGTTTACTGTTTCAGCCCATTACATCTTCCTTTGAATCAGCTTTGTCATCCTGTTGATTCCTTTATTAATGACTTAAATAAATCTGACAGGCTGACTACATATTTATTTGAATATTATGTTTTTAACTTTCTGAAAATGTATTTTGACATATTCTTCTAAAATGGATTATTTTATTAAAAGAATTCTGTGGCAGCCATTGTGATTTCAAATCACCTATAGCTGGCCAGTCCCATGCTTCTGAGTGTTTACATGATCTTTCCTCATAATACATAATGATGAAAACTGCTGGAGTCCTCTTGGGAGGTGGACCACATTTTCTTGAATGAATTACATGTCCCCACACAGGAACAAAATAGTGCCTGACAATCAGCTGGTGGATGGGTGCTTGCTTTCTTAGAAGAAGCCAGAAAATTGCTTACATTTTGTCTAGAAAAGCTAATTTCTTCCCAGAAATGGCTTGAGAATTACATCACTCAGAAAACCAGACCAAATTTGAGACAATTTTCTCTTCACAGAAATCACATGTTTAAGAACAAATGCTTCAGCTCTGACCCACAGGTTATAGTAGAAAAGTCCAGAAGTCTAGTCTAGTCCCCTACGAGTTTCCAACTCCTCTGTGTAGGGGTCTTTTATGCTTACAGGATCTAATTTGTCTAGTTTCTAATTTTTGGCAGAGAAGTAATGCTGAGTAGAAACTGGACTTGCTGATCACGTTAATGCGCATATGTTGGCTAAGATCCCTCACTTATGTAGCAACCATAAAACCCAGGGCATCCGTGCGCCGCTCAATGGTTCACTTCTGGTGGGCTTCCTGCTCCCCAACAGAGCAATCAGAAGAGAGTCCCCTAGAAAACTAAATTCTCTTCACCCACGAAGGATTCCCAGCACCTTGATCTGCTTTTATTCCTCTTTTGCCATTTCATTTTATAACTTAAAAGAAATAGAAGCTTGTGACAGAAGAAAGAAAAGTCTACATTATGAGAACATTTGGACCTAAAGCAAAAAATAATGAGAGAGCAAAAGTCTATACTGTTTCAGTAAACAGATTACGTCCAGGCTAACATTAGAGTTATATTTGTAATGAAATTGTACTTGCATTTTATTTCTGAGTTTTGCTGTTGTAGGGAAAGAGGAAGTATCTCCTTCCTCAGCCTTCTTTCCCATCCCCAGACTAAATGGCAGCATTTCTAGAGAACACCCATTGCCGCCCACCGCATTGTTTCAGAGAGCTTAATCCATCAGGGAAGGTTAAATTGGATTATCCCGGAAGGGAAAGGATGACAGCTTTGAGAATGAGGGATTATCCCCGTAAAGGGCTGGGGGGTGTGTGTCTCCTGCCAGTGTTGAGTGATGGAGTTACAAGTCTGGATTCTGAATCTAGGCATGTTGGATGCCGCTCCACGTAGGGAGAGTTAAAGATGGCCTTTGCCTGGTGGAGCCAGGCTGGGAGTCGGGGGAGATCGCAACCCCGTAAAACCTCCCCTCAGGTGGAAGACGAGCAAACCACAGTTTGTAAATCTAAAAGGTTATCCAACAGCCCGTTACTCTGTTTATTTCCCTTTTGTCATCCCTGGGTCTTGGGTCCCCCAAGCCAGGCCAGCTGTTTTAGGAATTGAGGAAAATGCACAATCTCCCGGGCGGTTGGCAGCGGAAGGAAAAGCCAGCCACGCCCCCGCCGCGGACCCCGCCTGTTGTCGGCCTAAGGGACTCCCAGCGAAGGTCCGTTTCCTCTCGTGGGCTTCTCCCTCCCGCGATAACTTCTGAATCGCAGCCGGGCCTGATTTTGCAGCTGAGGCCGGTTAATACTGGCCGGAGCAGGGAATGCTGCCCTCCCTTATAGGGCTTTTGTGAAAGTTAAGTTAGCTAATTAAAGTGCAAAGCACAGAGGCTGGAACACTACAGCGCTCAGTAAATGGTCTCCGTTATTATCATTATCACGAACCCGTTAGTTATAACTGGGGATGAAAAAACAAAAACCCAGAGAACCGGAAAGGTCTGCAAAAGGGGCGGAACGCGGGAACCTGGATTTGAGGAGGGGGAGGCGGGGGAGAGCCCACCGAAGCAGCCAATCCAGCTGTCCCGGGGAGGAAGAGGAGGAGTCAGGGCCCGCCCCGGGACTCTGCACTGCTCACTCCCGCGCCGTGTGGCTGTCCCCGCTGCCGCTCTGTGGTCTGCTCGGTCCCTGTGGCCCCGCGCGCTCGCCCACTGCAGTCTCCCCCAAGCAGACATGGCCTCGAGCGCCGCCACCGCCGCCGTGAAGGTGAGAAGCGCCGTCCCGAAGCGGCGGTCCGCCCTGCCTGGTGCCCTGGCGCCCTCGCCCCAGGGGAGCGCGCCTCCGGGCCATGCGCCCTGCCCGTGCGCCCCCGCCCAGGCGGGGGAGGGATTGGGGCGCGGCACTCGGGGCGCACTTGTCCCGTGGGGAGAGACTGACCCCTCCACCTTTGGGCTCAGCTGCGTTCGCACTCCGCAGGGCGCAGGCAAGCCCTTTGGAGAGAGGGGCAGTGGGTGGGCTGGGGCTTCACCCATGCAGCCACCATGCCTGAGCACCGCGCTTCTCCCGGGAACTGCGCCTGGTAGGAGCCAGCAGGTGTCCCAAATGGCTGGGCGTCTGCTGCTGCTGAGACCGTCTCCTCGTGCCTTGCGGGACTCCCGCTTCCCCTCTCTGACTCCGCTCACTGCCCGCGGCCCACGTGGGAGCTGCGTACTTGCTCTTTCTGTGCTTCCGGCTTCTTCCTCCAAACTTAGGCCTTCTCTGTGCTGAAGTTTTCCCCTGCAGCGCAATGCTGTGGGGGTTCTAAGACTATTTTTTAAAAACGGAAAAGGAGCACAGGCTTCCCTTCCTTAGGGCTGCTTCCTGTTTGGAGGCCTCTGGCTTAGAACTCTGCTGAACTCTGCTTTATCTGTAACCTTGAGAGTTTGACCTCAGTTTCCTTGTGCCCTAAGCCCTCAGACCTGAGTACAAGGGATCATTGTGCGGTGGAAAGCTTTGTCCAGAGAGCACGAGTTCTGAGAGTTGCAGCTAGCTAGCCTGGGGCTTTTAAACGCCCCTTTTCCTAGTGTCTTGAGAGAGTGCAGTACATAAGGAAAAATTGGTGCCAGAACTTAAGACCTTTTCTAGGCTGTTTACTATTGACTAAGAACGCAGTTAACTTGTTTGAGTTTTAGAGATTTTGGGCGGAAGGGATAGGTAGGTCCGCGGTCTTCTTCAAGCGTGTCTTTTGATTACATACACTTGTCTGCAGTCAGTGTATAATCAGCCAGATTAGTATATTAGGCCCTTGCAGGTTTTAATGAGCCACTTATGATAAGGGGGGAGGGCATTTGCAGCCAGACTTAGACATTTAACTTCTTTTGCCATTTTGAAAAGAATCTTGCGTTTAGCAAATATTTATAGAGGGCTTCACACACGCCAGTTGATGGGGACAAGGCAGAAAGGGTTTTCATGAAACTCGTGCAAAGTATGTGACTTCCTGAAGGTGCTTGGCTATAAAGTGGGGTTTTTTACTGCAGAATTTGCTGGAAGGACTAGAATTATATTGTCTGTGTTGCACATGGTTGAAGCATGTTAAGTGGTAATGCTTATAAGTGGGGGAACTGAGATTAATTTTGAATTGTCTTTTTTTCCAACAATTTAAATTATTGTTAGGTATCATTAGGCCACAGCTTTTCACCTTTCCCTTATAGGAATATACTTAAAGTGCCGTTAAAAACAGAGGTATGGTATTTACAATAGTCATACTTTAATTTGGTTAGCATTCTCCCTGCCACACAGTTTCCCTGTAAAATTAATACAGTGCATTTAAGTGCAGGATGGGCAATGTAATTCTCAGAGGCCTGATGTAAATACTGAATAATGTATAATTTGGGTTTTGGCGAGCTGCTGGATATAAAATTAAGAGGTACATGTGGTGCTGGGACTTCCTGCTGATTTCTCTTTTAGGTTATAACAGATGACAGCTTTGCTGTTAAGAATCCATGATGCCAGCACCATATCCCCTAGACTGTAAGGCAACATTCTATGTAGAAAACGTGACTTCCTGGTGTCCAGAGCAAAATGGGTTAAGAATATCCATGTCCTCTTCCCAAATTATAAAATGGTGGAACTGGAATGTTCCTTCAAGACCATATAGCTACACACAAACCCCTATATATAAAGCTGAGACCCAGAAAGGTCAGCTAATATGTCCAGAATTACACAGCTGGACCTAGGTAATGACAGAATTGGGCCTAGAGCCTGGCCCTCCACCAACTAGATGTGAGGCGTTTCTGGAATCTGAACTATGGTCTCTATGCCCTGTTTTATTGTATGACTTTACTCACAATAAAAGGACCACTTTATGGGTCATCCATCCTTGAGGGAGTGCAGAGTGCATGCATGAAGTAGGCCACATCCCCACATCCACTGTGCGCTCCCCAGGTATGGATGTAGGAGGCACATTTGTGCCCCATTTATGTCACTGTCAGGGGGGTATGTGGTCTGACTCACCACTTCATGGGGGTTGGGGTTGGAAGAGCTGTGGAGCCAGGAGACCCAGCCTCATATCCCAGCACCACCATTTCTTTGCTAGAAAATTAACCTCCTTGGCCTTAGAGTCCTCAACTGTAAGGGGAACACTAGTAACACCTACTTTGGGAGGCTGTTGGATTTAAATACCGTAACATGTAACACACCCAGCCTGGTTCTAGGCACTCCGTTAATGTCAGCACCACTACCTCCCATTTCAAAATGCAGATATTACCAGAGGTTGGACTTCAAATTCATTCCCAATTTAAGAGGTGCAGTTAGCTCATTCAGGTGAAAAATCCCATTGGGTTTTGGATTAGGCAGTGTGATATTTGGTATATTGTTCAAAACTAGCTGTTCATGGGCAGAATCGTATCGAAGTATTAATTGAGTATCTACCAGACACTGGGATACATCTTTGAGTAAAACAAGGCCTCTATTTAACTTTATATACTAGTAGGGACGAAAAACCAACTGACATGAGAGTGAAACAACAGTGAGAGTCACTTGGGGAAGGGGAGTCAGAAAGGGCCTCTAGGCAGGTGGATTTTAAGCTGTGCAAAAAATCATATGCAAAAAATCTCCCCCAAAAAATCACATATTGAAAACTAGTCACCAGTGTGATGGATTTAGGAGATGGGGCTTTTGGGGGTGAATAGGTCATGAGAGTGGAGCCCTCATGGATGAAATGAATGCCCTTATAAAAGAGGCCCCAGAAAGCTGCCTTTCCACTTGTACCAAGTGAGAAGGTACCACCTATGAAGCAAAAAGTGGGCCCTCAGCAGGCAGTGAACTAGCCGTGATCGTGGATTTGCTGGCTTTCAAACTATGAGAAATAAATTTCGTTCTTGGTAAGCCATCTAGTCTACAGTGTTTTGTTACAGCAGCCCACATGGACTGAAATAAGTTACAGCTGAAATGAGGATACAGAGCCACATGAAGACCTGAGGAAAGAATTGGACAGCTAGAACCAAGGTCCCTGCAGAAGAAGCGAGCTCGTTGGTGTGGGAATAGAAATCTCAGTGCTGGTGCACAGTGAAAATTGAAAATTGAGTGGGTGCACCTCGTAGGACCTGCTTTATAGGCCATTGTAAAGAATTTGAATTTTATTTTAAATGTGTTAGAAGCCGTTAAAGGGTTATGAGCAGAGAGGTAGCATCTGGTATACATTTTAGAATGATTTCTTTGGCTGCTGTGTATAGAATAACCTGTGTGGGAGAAGAGCTAGATCAGGCCAGAAGTCACAGCACTGTTGCTGAAAGCAGGGTGGGAGCCATGAAAGTAGCGAGAAATACTGGACTAGAGGTAGACTTTGTAGGTAGGGCAAAGAGATGGGTAAGATGTGGGGAGTGCCAGAAGAACAGGATAATTCCTATTTTTTACCTGAAAAACCCAGAAGATGGTAGTCCTGGTGAGTCATTTCAAACTGGGAGATAGGGGACCATGAGTGATTCCTCGGAGCCAAGGAGGGTAAGTGTTGGATTCCTTCCTCTGAGATACTGCGGGTTAGGGGGCCAAGGGCAGGAGATGCTGAGGGTTCCTTTGCTCCAGGTGCAGAGTGGGTAGTGGGTCTGGGGAGGGAGGAAGCCACCTTGACTAAGAGTAATTGAGAAAGTTTTTTTTTGTGGTTCACTGCAGTGAGAGATGGTCTAGGCAGGGGGTAAGGATGCCACATGGGAGGTGGGCACCCATGGAGAGAGGCAGTGAGGGCCAGAGGCCATAAGAGTAGCACCTGCCATTGTCTGGGAGGACCTCAAGGAGCCGTGGTCCTCCAGCATCAGCCACGGGCAGGTGGTATGCTTGACCACAGGGAGGCCAACAGGTCTTTGCACCCAGACAGGGCGTTCTAGAGGATTCCTGCAATGTACTCTGGCTCCCCCAGGCAGCTTCCCAGCTTTCACTCCAGGAGATTAAAAACAATAACTTGTTAATCATGGTTGCTATGATAAGAAGGGGATATGGCCCCTTTGTGGGTGGGTAGGGGGTTAGGAACAGTGGTATTAAGGGGTGTGGGTGAGTCATGTGTCTAGACTGTGGAGGATGGGCCACTAAAGCTCTCCTTTTGGCTGTGTTGAGTGTGGACAGCAAAGGCCTTCAGACTGAAAATCCTTGTGTGGCCAACTGAAACTGGGTACAACCCACAGGCCCCAATTGCAAATCAAATGACCTACAAGCTATCTATTTTTTTATTTTTATATTTTTGCCTAGGGACACAGTGGCTTTTTAGGCAGGACATTTCTTCCTTATGTGGGACTGTCTTGAGCATTGCAGAACATAGAGTGCATCCTTCGCCCCTCATGAATACCTGTGGCAATCCTCCCAATCATGGTGACCCCATGTTTCCAGGCATCCCGAGGAGAGACTTTTGACCCTTGGTTGAGGACCCCTGGCTGCATCCCTGAGAGACTGCCTGCTGAGGAGGGGCAGCCAGGCTTGTGTGCTGACCAGGAATAAGGGCTTTGTTTGTTGCTTCGAGAAAGTTTATTTTGATTTTGTTTGCTTTCTGCAGCAGTGGTAAAATACGCAGAAACAGTAACTGATATTAATGCATTATTTCACTTGATTCTCATCATTCTGTGGATTAAGTGAAAGTCTTACTCTTACCGGTATAGATGAGGAAGCAGATAATGTAAATTTTTATAAGCAATGGACCCTGGATCCTCAACTGTGATTGCACTCGTGGTATTCTAGTCTGTGCCTCAGAAGAGTCCCAAGCAGTGGTTCTCAAAGTGTGTGATGCACTTGCATCGCCCGCT